GCTTCTAGTCCACCACTCATGCCTTATGACAGCACCAAATGGAAGTATCAGGCAACTGCCTCAACACATGCCAAGATTCATGTTATTAGGAAATGTGGGGGCCGGCATTGCAGCACAGTGGGTAAAGCTGCCGCTTGCAATGTTGGCATCCCATATGTGCCCCCGTTAGTGTCCTGGTTGATCCACTTACAATCCAGTTACATGGATTTCCCAGTGGCCTAGGAAAAGCAGAAGAGGATAGCCCAAGTCCAACACCACAATGAAGTTCCTGGCTCCTGGCTTCAGCCTGGACAAGTCCTAGCCCTGCCCCAGCTATTGTGGCCATCTGGGGAGCAAACCAGCAGACGGGAGATCTCTCTCACTCTTTCAAATAAATAAATACATTAATCATAAAAGAAAGTAATGTGCTGTCAGCACCACACGTACAGGGCATTACCCACGAGGTGAAAAAGTTCTGATTCTCTTCCTACGAGATGTTCAAACACACCTTTGTGAATCTTACACATGCCCAGCCTCGTTAACATAAAGCCATGGAGCTCAGTCAAGGGAAAGATAACCTGGAAGATGCTATTCAGGGGGCCAGCACACCGTGGTGTAGCAGGTAAAGCCGCCGCCGGCAGTGTCAGCATTCCATATGGGCGCTGGTTTGAGTCCTGGCTGTTCCACTTCTTCTTCTTCTTTTTTTTTTTTGACAGGCAGAGTGGATAGTGAGAGAGAGACAGAGAGAAAGGTCTTCCTTTGCCGTTGGTTCACCCTCCAATGGCTGCCCCGGCTGGCGCGCTGATCCGAAGGCAGGAGCCAGGTGCTTCTCCTGGTCTCCCATGGAGTGCAGGGCCCAAGCACTTGGGCCATTCTCCACTACCTTCCCGGGCCACAGCAGAGAGCTGGCTTGGAAGAGGGGCAACTGGGAAAGAATCCGGCGCCCTGACCGGGACTAGAACCCATTGTGCCAGCGCCGCTGGGTGGAGGATTAGCCTATTGAGCTGCGTCGCCGGCCTATTCCACTTCTGATCTAGCTCTCTGCTATGGCCTGGGAAAGCAGTAGAATATGGCCCAATTCCTTGGGCTCCTGCATCCAAGTGGGAGACCCGGAGGAAACTCCTGGCTTCGGATAGACACAGCTTCAGCTGTTGCAGCCATCTGTGGTGTGAAACAGCAGATAGAAGACTTCTTTCTCTCTCTTTCTCTGCCTCTCCTATCTGTGTGTAACTCTGACTTTCAAATAAATAAATAAATCTTAAAAAAAAAAAAAAAAAAAGATCCCGTCTAAGAGCAAAATGACAGGAGCCACGTACATCATTTTAGAATTCCTAGTGGCCACATTAAAAAGATAGAAGAGCAACAGGTAAAATGATCTTTAGAATCTTATGTAACCTAATGTTTCTACAGTGTTATCACTGCAATATGCAATTCATATAAAAATTGAGATTTCACCCTGAATTCCATTCCAGGAGGGATCTTCCTTTCAGTAGATCTTTGCTTGCACAGCCACTGTGCTCATACTTTTGGTAGCGGTACCTAGCTATTGAGCAGGTAACACGCTGGATCTAAGAAAAGGTTTTCATGAGGAGGCAGATTATCCACACATGGCTCACAGAAAGAAAACAGGCACCAGAGGATCTTAAAGCTACATGGCTAAGAGGTACCAAGTCAGAATGAAACTAGATCTGATGGCAGCACCAGTTCTCTTTTGAGTTTCTGTATTTCTGGGCCTAACTGTGTTCTTAAAAGCGGCAGTGTATGAAACATCTGTATTTACCACCAGAGAAAAGTTTTAGGAAAGGCAACAGTGTACAGTTCTACCACGTAAGCAACAAATTAATCCCAGACCCTGTACCCAAGATGGACTTTTCTTTCCAGTATCATCCTAGTGTCTTATAAATCTGGGCCACTCTGAATGTGGAGTCTTATATTCTGCTTTTTAAAGCCATCAGATACAATCATTTTCTTAAGTCATTACCTCCAAACACATGGACTTGGACAGCCAGAGAGATTTCAATCAAAACATTTCCTAACTACAAACTCCTGCCTGTCCCTCTCTTCAAACGACTATGTTCAATGGTTCAAAAACCACTGTTGTGGGTGTTGGGGAGAAACTGCAAATACACCCTCACACAGCTTCTATTCTAGAGGAAAAGACAGATACCAAATAGATAAAAGGTAGAGTGAGAGGTATGTGATGACTTCAATCTCTTTATTTATCAGGAGGAATCACATGAAAATACCAGTACTCAACCATGACTGACCTACAGAATGGGCAATTTCATATAGTTTGACCTAACAGTTTCATTCAGTCAGCAGTCAGGAATGCTTCTGGGGGGCCAGCGCTGTGGCGTAGGTGAAGTCTCTGCCTGCAGCACTGGCATCCCATGTGGGTGCCAGTTCAAGTCTCGGCTGTTCCACTTCTGATCCAGTTCCCTGCTAATGCGCCTAGGAAAGCAGAAGATGTTGGGCCCCTGCACCCACATAGGAGACCCAGAAGAAGCTCCTGGCTTTGAATCGGCTCAGCTCCAGCCATTGTGGCCATTTTGGGAGTAAAGCAGCAGATGGAAGACCTCTCCCTCTCTTTGGAAGGCAGAACACGCAGAATTGGACTGAACATAAAACTAGACTGCATAATTCCCTCTCCTACAGCAGCAGAGGCAGGACAGCCTCTTGGGTGGGAGGAGCAGGATGGACCGAGGTGACAGGGTAACAGGATGGGGGTTGTGGTAGGAGGCAAATGGCTCGCTTGTGCTACTCCTCCCTTCTGGTCCAAGAGGCTCTGTCTCCACCAACAGCACCCTGAGAAGTGGTTTTTTCTACCAGGAATGGGTGGTCCTAATATTTCCTTTGTGATTTCTTAAACTACTTCTAAGAGGACTTAAAAGAGAGAGAAGAAAAAAAAAAAAAAAGCCCAGGAACCTGGCTGTCCATTATTATTCGATTATTTGGGGAGAATAAATTCTTTGTATAACAAAACACTCCTAGCACCTGAAACACCCACTTAAAGTTGTGAAGAAACAACTGGATATGAAGTATTTCCTGATATAATGAAGAAAGAAGAATTCTCGCTAAGAATTCAAACCCGATTCTCATCAGGCCCCCAGAGCTAACTGCCAGTCTAAAGCAAGCATGAGGGACAGGGTAAGACACTGGGACAGTTAAGGATATAACCAGTAAAATCCAGAATGTAGGGAGAAGCTACAGGAAAAAAAGAAAACAAAGGAAAGAGGGTGGAAACCTTTGGACTCTCAGGGTTATTAAGTATGCATGTTAACAAATTTGCAACTAGTTGCACTTTCCTTGCACCTTTGAACAGTCAACTATAATAAAACAAAGTCTGCAAGACAATAGGGAAAATGAGAGTACTACCTAGATATTCACATCTAATACTAAGGAGATATTAATTTTTTTTAAAAAAAGATTTCTTTAAAGTTATAAACTGCAATGAACTGATAAATACTGAAGCTGGGAATCTGGCATATGACAGTTCTTGATTATTTTTCCACTGTGTATATATTTAAAAACTTCCACAATATGAAAAGACAACCTACAGACTGGGAGAAAATATTTACAAACTGTATATCTGTTAAGGGGTTAATATCCAAAATATATAAGGAATTCAAACAACTCAGCGGCAAGGAAAAAAAATAACCCAATTAAAAATCGGGCAGCTGGCACCGCGGCTCACTAGGCTAATCCTCCGCCTTGCGGCACCGGCACACCGGGTTCTAGTCCCAGTCGGGGTGCCAGATGTCCCGGTTGCCTCTCTTCCAGGCCAGCTCTCTGCTGTAACCAGGGAGTGCAGTGGAGGATGGCCCAAGTGCTTGGGCCCTGCACCCCATGGGAGACCAGGATAAGTACCTGGCTCCTGCCATCGGATCAGCGCGGTGCACTGGCCGCAGCACGCTGGCCACGGCAGCTATTGGAGGGTGAACCAACGGCAAAGGAAGACCTTTCTCTCTGTCTCTCTCTCTCACTGTCCACTCTGCCTGTCAAAAAAATAAAAAATAAAAAAAAATTAAAAAAAAAATTGGGCAAAGAACCTGTATAGATACTTCTCAAAAGATGACCTACAAATGGCCAATAAATATGTAGAACAAAAATGCTCAACATAATGAATTACCAGAGAAATGTTAAGTTTATTAAAAAGATGAGAACAAGGATGTAGAAACAGTTTATACTGTTAGTTGGAATGTATAGTCATTTTTGGAAAACAGAATGCAGGTTCACAAAAACAGATTTATCTTGTGATCTGTCAATCATACTATGAAGTGCATATCCAGTGGAACTGAAATAAGTACGCTGAAGAGATGTGCATTCTCAGGTTCATTGCCATACTTGTCACAATAGTCCAGATATGGAATCAAACTAAGTGTCCATCAAGGGATGAATGGATAAACAAAATGTGGTAATATCCACCATGGGATACCATTCATCCACAAAAAAGAAGAAAAGTCTTTCACTGGTGACAGCACAGATGAAATCAGAGGACATGATGCTAAATGCAATAAAGCAGATACACAGAGATAAGCAGTGCAGGACCTCATTGACTTGCGTGCTATATAAAAGATCAGCTTACAGAAGTAGAGAGTTAAACAGCAGTTATCTGAGGCTGGGGGACGGGGACATCAGGGATGTTTGTCAAAGGAGACAAAATTTCAGTAAGGCAAGAGGAGTAAGTTTCTTAGTAATACTCTGTACAGCATGGTGTTTATAGTGAATAGGAAAGCAGAAATCAAAAATGTTCTCACCACCAAAAATGATAATAATATGCAGTGATATGTTCACTAGTGATTTATCATTATTCAATGTGTACATATACCAAATATCACTTTACCCCCAGAAATATGTAAAATTACTATTTGTCAATTATAAAGAAATAGAAACGCCCACAAGAAAAAATTTTAAGCCAGTCTGTGGCCCTGCCCACCCTTTCTTCTTCCAGTTCCCACATATCATCCATTTGAGCTGGGAATGAGCAACAGGAGCCTGAAGTGTTTCACAAGGTTGCTCACCTGTCGATGAACTGATCGATAATGACGATATCGCCGGGCTGAATCTCCTCCCTCAAGGAGCCACAAGCTGTGGTCACTATGACATGTGTACAACCCTCCTCCTTCAAAGCCCAGATGTTTGCCTGGTAGTTGACTTTGGAAGGCATGATGGTGTGCTGCCTCCCATGCCTAAGAGAGAAAAGGGAAAAGGACAGACAAGGGCATTTGAACAGTTAGGAAAGGAAATTCATTTACAGCAGTGTTTTCCAGCTCTTTCCACCAAAGTGCTTTTACTGGCAGAGGGCGAGTGAGAAACCACTGGGTAACACTCAGACAACTGTAAGCCCCAACTATTTGGTCATAAAATGCAGACCATCTTTACATTCTTTATATTTATTTTTCTAAGTGTGGGTAATAACTTAAAATTCATGCTTTAGGAAGGTATATCCCCCGTCTATCCTGTGGGATACAAACAACCCAGAGTGAGCATCTGGTCTCACATGTACCATTTCATGGAAAACAGGGGCACCAGTGAAGACAACAACACAACAGAAACAAAGTTTAAGTTCCCAGTTGCATCTCTCCATTCCCTTTTCTCTTATCATCCAAGTAAGTTAATGAAAACATTTAAAATATTTTAATTTTCACTTGTTTAGCATGACATTGCCAGGTTTTGTGCAAGAAAGGATCACCTCACTCTTGGCTCCTGTTATGTGAACTGGGTCCCACCAAAATTCTGACATGGAAGGGCTAACCCCTCCATTCCTCAGAATGTGACTATATCCAAAATGAAGGACTTTAAAGAGACAACCAGGTAAAATGAGGTCATCAGGGTGGGCCTCTTCCAATGTGAGGGTGTCGTAAGAAGAAATCTGGACCCAATCATGCACAGAGGGAAGAGGACATGAAGACACAGGGAGAAGACAGCCACCCACAAGCCAAGGAGGGGCCTGGAAGAGAGCCTTCCCTCCCAGTTCTCAGAAGAAACCAATCACTCCAGCACCCTGATCTCAGACTTCTAGCCCCAGAACTCTGAGGAAATAAACTTGTGTTATCTAAGCCACCCACCTGCTTCGCTGTTATGGCAGCCTGAGCAGACTCATACACCCACCCATCCATGACTTACTTCCTACTTCAAATAAAACCCAAACACAATTCCCTGAACCCAGCCTACTAAGGCAACCCAAGCTCTACCTTCACCCATCTCCTCACTTAGCTTGGGCTCACTGCTAAGTGAGCTTTCAGCTGCTCATCCGTACTCACTCCTGCTCAGACCTCTGCTCCACAGTGATCTCCTCGGGGAGGAACTTCCTAGGATCACTGCCTCTGGCTCACTTCCCTGTCCCCTAAACTGAGTTTCCTTCTAGCACCCTTCGGCATCTCCAGCACTGCACTGTCCTGCAGTGCTCATGGTTCTCACTACAATCAGCCTCAAGGGTGATGCCCCTGTCTGTCTTCCTTCTTGGCCCCTAGACCAGGATCTGCCGTGTGAGCAGTTTAATCTGTCAGATGAAAGAATGTGTTTGGGCATTGGGAACATGTAAGCACGCACGCACGCACACACACACACACACACACCCCTAAAGGAACGCTGGTAAACAGCCAGGAAAGGGAACCCAATTTCTAAAATTATTTTTAAAAAATTTACATGCGTAACATGACATCTGCGTAGGCAGTCTTTCTTAGAGACCTAAAATTACTCTGGGTTCCTTGAAAAACTACAATAACCATGTAAGATTCTACGACAAAAAGACAACTGTTCACAGTCAAATCTTTTATATGTGGTAATGCAGAAAAATACAAAATCATATTTTGTATCATGATGATTAAGAGCTTGTTTTTTAATTCCTCATACACCTGTTTTTCATGTGGTAAGAACACAAAAACTGCAATTTTCAGTCTAAGTATGTGAGGCTAAAAAAAGCAATGTGAACTGGGTGTTTTGCCATTTGCTTAAAAAAATGTGAATGTGTTTTGTGCATTTAAAAAACTTTACTTCCTAATTCTGACAACAGTGAAAATTGTATACAGCATAATTATAGTAATAAACATACACGTGTATTTACATATGCACACGTGTTTAATATCAACACTTCCGACATACATTTAGGAAAAAAAGACTGGAGCCCAGTTTTCTTTAATCTGTAAAACGAACAGTTCAGTAATGTTCTACAAGGGGGTGTTATTAAATATCTCTAGCTATCATCCTATGTTTATATTTTAAAGGAAACTTTAATGTCTCTTCTGATGACCGAAACATAATTGCTAGAAACATCTTAATTGCAGATAAACAGAGCCTATCAGGGTTCCCACCCAAGTTTATGGATGGGGGCAGTGAGCACCAGAAAGTGTGTTTCTCTGAGGCTCCTCTCTAAAAGGCTAATTACATTTGCAAAAGAAATCTGCAGGTCAGAGCTGTTAGGGCCAAACACATTTCAGTTCCAAAGTCAAAAACCCTTGCCACAGGGCCACACCAAACATCTCTTCCTAAAGCCTGGAAAGTTGAGTGATTCTCCAGGAATGACCCAAGACCAACAAAGGAGGCTGCCTGCAATCCTCCCAGGTAGCTGCCTGAAACTACACTTTCGTTTCTCTGGATTCTGCGCGGATACTTCCATTTTGCAAATGTAGAGTGGCAGACAGACTATACAGTGCATTCCCTGTTTCATGTCCTGTACAATCGCCTCCCCAGCCGTGGTGGACCTGTGACTTGCTTCTAACCATAAGAACACAGCAGAGGGGATGGAAGTCATTGGCACGACTGGACTGTACCTTGCTAACAGGCACTCAGAGGGGGCCACGGGACACAGAGTGTGGACTGTCTCAGGAGCCGAAGTCCTCAATCCTACTGCTGTGAGGAAGTGAATTCTGCCAACAAGCACGGGAGCCTGCACACAACCTCAAGCTCCAGAACACAGCCCTGAACACACCTTGTGTGACTGCTGCAGAGCACCCAGCTAACCTGTGCCAGTCTCCTGACTCACAGAAGTTGAGATAACATGTGCTCTTTGAAGCTGTTAAGTTGTGGCACAGAAGACTAACACTTGCAGTTTGATTTTTAACTGTGTGATCAAAAAGATCTGTCTCCTCTACAGCATGGGACAACACTAGCCTTGTAAAGAAAGCGAGGATGTGGACACCACGAGTGACCCACTTCAGGGGCCTAAACCCACTCCCCAGAGGGACAACCTCTGCTACCTAAGGGGTCACGAGTGGAGTATTCACTGCTTATCTTCATAACTAAAAGGAAAAGAAACAGCTAGAAATGAAATCAGAGTTCTAATTTTAGTCAAAAGATCCACTGTCCAAGACTTAATGGGGTGGCATGTGTGAGATGAGTAATCCCAAAATGAGCGTAACTGACTCCCAGACCAAATGCGGTAAATGAGGGTGACTATGATGCTCTGACTCCACTAATACCTGGCAATGCACACCTGCTTCGTTACTCCTTCCAGATTTTAAGTTCACACTGTCGTTTAGTAGTGACACTCAAACAGCTTAAAATATCTTACCTGGCAAGGAGGACGCAATCAACATTTTTTATTTTCCCCAAAATTAAGGCATCGGATGGCTGCATGAAAGGACAACGTTAGAAGTCAGTGAGTGTAAAATGCATTGAAACAATTAAAAATACTACTGTTTGAACTGTTCAATCACAGTGGGACTTACAGAAACCTGCAGCTTGATTCTATAGCTTAAAAAAGTCTAGTGTTGATTGATCACATCTTTCACTGTTTCCTGAGCCCTCTACAAGGCATAGAGATTCACAGGACTCTGCACAGAGTCTAGGGTGTCTGTGCAGTGCCATTTAGTAAAATCTATGTGTAGCATGTGTCCCAGGGGACTCTGATGGGAGCGTGGTCAAATTCTGATGTGGCAGGTGCACCAACAGGTGTGAGTGAAAGGCAGAAAGGAGAGAGGCCACTGTCCTGGCATATAAGAAATCACTGGAGCTTTCTGCTCGTGTTGACCAAGCCTGAGATGGCCAGGGAATGGCCGGAGGTAATAAAGGGAAAGGCCCTTAGGATCTAAGGGGTTAAGAAAACACAAAGCTAAGCAGTGGACCAAGATGATGGCAAGACATGGAAGATGCGAGGCCAATCTAAGAGCTTAGCTAAAGAGGGTTTGGTTGGGACGCTCAGATGTGGAGGTGGTCACAGGAGGATGAGAGAGACTACAGCGTTTGGAAGCAGTCCCATGGAATCAGGAGAAGATAGACGCCCTCACCCCCACCTTGGCTGGGGACACACTGGCTCGGAGAACAAGCAGCCTCTCCAGAAAAGGACGGGTGTTTTACTCCCAGTGCAGTCGAGCATTCAACTGTCAGCGGTTTCTGGATCCCCAAGGCAATCCTCCTTTGGGACAGGGCTCGCTCACAGATGCTGCTGAGACCTCATCCTATTAGTCATCAGCTTGTCCCCTAAATCAGTGTGGTGTGACCTACCGGCCCCAAATGAGAGGCTGATTTGAATGCACAGATTTGAAAAGCACAGTTGCTATGTCTGAAGTGAGTGCCTGCCTTCAAGCAACACAAATTGAGCAACACACTGAAAAGCCACGCTCTCAGAACAGCGAAGTCTGAGCATCCTGACGGACACCATCTGAGCTGGCGCAACCCAAGTTCATGGCTCCTGGCTCCCCCTCTGGGCTTTCTGCCTACAGCAGCCAGCCCTGGGCTTCTAGGACAAAAGGATTTTTTTTTTTTTTTGACAGAAAAAGGAAGCCAGTAAGAAGTGGAAAAGCTAACATGGCTCCACTAAGTGGGTACTGACCTTGCCAAATGGAGTATCCACATACTTTTCAGTTCTTCCTTCTAAAATTTCTGGATCATCCAGGCCTGTTCCACCAATTATTCCAATCTAAGGGAGAAAAAGAGGGAAAGAAAAAAAAGGATTATCATATTTGGTCACTTTTCATTCGAAAGAAAATCATTATTTTTTTAAAAAAATATTTATTTATTTGAAAATCAGAGTTGCATTGAGAGAGAGAGAAGAGGCAGAGGGAGAGAGATCTTCCATCCGCTGGTTCACTCCCCAGTTGCCCACAATGGCCAGAGCTGTGCCAATTCAAAGCCAGGAGCCAGGAGCTTCTTCCAGGTCTCCCATGGGGGTGCAGGGGCCCAAGAACCTGGGCCATCTTCTACTGCTTTCTCAGACCACAGCAGAGAGCTGGATTGAAGTGGAGCGGCCAGGACTTGAAGCAGCACCCATATGGGATGCTGGCATTGCACACGGTGGCTTAACCCACTATAACACAGCACTGGCTCCAGAAAAATCATTATTTTAAGCAAATATTTACTTACATTTACTAATATTTTCTTAAAATAATTAGTAAAAATATTTACTAATATCTTGTGTATCCTCCATTCCTGCTAAGCCCTAGGTGGTTTAAAAATCTGAAAAATAGTGGGGAAAATAAAACCCAACAACCATTTAAAAGTCATCAGTATTATAGAAATAAAATACAGGTCATGTTTTTTAAGACAACAGTGCATTTATTTACGTTTAAATTACAAATAGTCACAGAAAGGTACTTGAACTAGCTTAAGTTAGAAAATCAAACCTAAAAGTCAGCAAACATGGTTGTAGGAAAGCATTTTCTGATTTTAAAATGGACTACGGAAGAGAGACTGTTCATAGGACCCGTGGCATATAAAATACTAGGTACATCCATATAGTTATGGTTTCTTCTCATTTCTCCATCTAATAAAAATGCAAGAGATTCCCTTTCATGTGCCACAAGAACCAGAGAACATGGAACTGGAAGAGTATGCAGGCAGAAGACACTGGAAGTTAGCTTCATGTACACTTACCAAGTTAAGCCATCATTCATATATGTACATAACTTCATATTTATATACAGTAAATATATAGAGCAAACAGAAAATTCATTTATTTATATTATGTAAACGTAAGGAATTCAAAAGTAGTTCTAAATTTATTTCAAGTTCAAGCATAGATTGCATTTTTTAGAGGTCATCTTCAAAGTCCTGTCCTCAGACAAGGTAAGAATTCCAGTACTACCCTCTAAGGGTTAATCTAATTGGATGACTAGGGAACACAAATGAGCAATTACAAAGATAAATACTAGCTCAACTGTGAAAACTAAAAATTAAGTAGCTGAAGTCACTATGAAAATCTCCCTAGGCTGCTACTACCTAAAGGAGGAAAGTGTTGGAACAGTCAGCTGCCAGCTGAAGATACTATATTGTACTGAAAATCCAACAAAAAGTGACCACTGCACCTTTTTTCATCGCAATGACTGCCAATCTATTGTCACTTGAGTAAAATTTCTAGAAAGTATATGTGGAGGGGCTGGCACTGTGCATAGCGGGAAAAGCTGCTGCCTGCAGTGCCCGCATACCATAGAGTGCCGGTTCGAGTCCTGGCTGCTCCATTTCCAACCCAGCTCTCTGCTATGGCCTGGGAAAGCAGCGAAGGATGGCCCAGGTCCTTGGGCCCCTGCAAGGCTCCTGGCTCCAGATTAGCCTAGTTCCAGCTCTTGAGGCCATTTAGGGAGTGAACCGGTGGATGGAAGATTTCTCTCTCTGCCTCAGCCTCTCTGTAACTCTGCCTTTCAATTTTTTTTTAAAAGAAAAAATATGTGGCTTATTGAGGAAAAAATGTCAGAGGTTAAATAATGTACCAAACAACGTATTTGCTATAAATACACATTGGTTTGTATCAGCATGTTAAAAATGGTTGCCTCCCTGGCCATCAGTTTTCTGATTAAAGAAATAATCAACAACATAAGAAAATAAGGGCACCTTGGTGAGGTTTTATTGAAGAAATCTGCTAGTTTCCCTCAGCATTGTCTTTTTTTTTTTTTTTTAACTTTTATTTAATGAATATAAATTTCCAAAGTACAGCTTATGGAGTACAATGGCTTCCCCCCCATAACTTCCCTCCCACCCGCAACCCTCCCCTTTCCTGCTCCCTCTCCCCTTCCACTGACATCAAGATTCATTTTCAATTCTCTTTATATACAGAAGATCAGTTTAGCATACATTAAGTAAAGATTTCAACAGTTTCAGCATTGTCTTGTGACAAATGCAATTTTTGTCATTAGTGCCACCTTGTGGTACATTATTGAAACCACAACAAGCTACATATTTTATGTCTACTTAACTTTACAGGTAAAGACTAACCAATATTTGTTTCCAAATCAACAGTTCACTCACATCAATATGTTTAAATCATGCTAGTTTGACACAAATTTCCAAAAATTTCACACTATTTTTATACAGTGCAAACCCTTCCTCTACCCTGATTTATCCATTTTTTTTCTTTCCTTTTATGTATGTCGTAGGCATCCGAGATCATGGCCCATGTCCTGACCCCGGGCCAAAGAAATGAACTGAGGCTTCTGAAATGGCTCTCAGCCTATCCTCTGGGGGATTCAGCTATTCATAAAAACTTTGGTTTCTGGATTATTACCACAGTGACCTGGCTGTGTCTGGATATTCTCCAGGGCAAATTCTAGACCTCAGGGTCAAACAAGAGCACTTCAAAAGCTCATGGAAAAACAGAATTAAAAGACAAGTTTATTCTGGTGCAAAAGAAAATGAAATCCATACATAATTTTTTGACAATGGGTGTCTTCCATGAACTCTTTGAAGATCCTTTGTTTATAGACTGCAGATTTTTTTTACATTAAAGTAAACTTTAAAAAAAAAAACTTTTAAATTTCATTTATTTGAAAAGTAGAATGACAGAAAGAGAGGCAGAGAGAGAGTCTTCCTTCTGCTGCTTCACTCCCCAAATGCCCACAACAGCCAGGGCAGATCCAGACAGCAAGCAGGGTCTCCATCTAGGTCTCTGTGTGGGCGGGAGGGACCCAAGTACTTGAGCCATCAGTTTTGCCTCCCAGGGGACATAGTCACAGGAGCCGGATCAGAAGCAGAGGCAGGATTTGAATGCAAGCCCTCTGATAAGGGATTCCGGTAACCCAAGTGGCAACTTAATCACTGTGCTATAATAGCTGCCCCATACAAGCTTTTTTTTTTTTTTTTTTTTAAGGGAAAGGGTTTATTGGGAAAAATCCAGCAGACTGGAAGGAAGGGGTGAGGAAGGAGAAAAAGAGAGAGAAGGAGAGAGTAAGAGAGACAGAGAAGAGAGAGCAGAGAAGAGAGAACAAGCAGGAGATAGAAGAGAAGGGAGCAGAGACAAGAGAGGAGAGAGGGGAGACCAGAGGAGGAGGCTAGAGAGAGCCATGTGTTCAGGAACAAGACCTTTTAACACTTTGCTGGAGGGCAGGCAGGGAAGCAGGAGCAGCAAATCCCATTAGTATGAGGGTGGAACTTGACACCAGCATACACCTATCCGTTAAATCCACTTTCCACATGTTTTATTTAAGTACTCTCATATATACAAGTAAATCTTTGTTTTGCAACTCCCACTCCCTTACATTAACTAGTGCAGCATGGCAGCAGTACTTAATTAATCCTAACCAGGGTCCTGCTGAAATTCCATCCCTGGGTTCACCTGCAGAATCCCTAAGCTTCAGTTCACATCAGGCTGGGTGCATGACGACTCTACAGTAGGTAGCTGACATCTCGGCACTCAGAAAAAAAAAAAAAGTGTAGTACCAGGCAGGCCAGGATCCGTTTCTGGCACAGGAATGATCTGCAGGCAAGTCCATCCAGTCACCCAGCTGTGTCTAGTTTTTTATGGAAACTCACATCTTGCAAGGGACACAAACAAAGCAATTAAGTACTGCCATACTAGGGACCTCTAAGATGGAGGCCAGTAGTGCCAAGATATGGCCAATGTCTCCACCTGCTGGCCCTACAGCAAAGTACAACTGGAATGGAGCACCCAAACTTAAAGTCTGAATTACAGGTTCTGTGCTCAGTGCTTTGGTAGCAGTACCTCATTTGAACATCACAACCACCCTATAAGACAAGCCCTGTGGTATTATACCCACTTTACAAATGAAGAGAACAAACATTAAGAAACTTATCCAAGATCAAATCACAAGGAGCAGGGCTGGGATAGGCTCTCAGGCCTAACGACCATGATGTGCTTTATCCTGATGTCCCCTAGAGTTCTTCGTGACATCCTATCTTATTAGAAAAGCCTTATTCCCTCCATGTTATGAGGAAATTGATGTTCAGAGGTCAAGTTCTTGACCAAAGGGACAGAGAAAGTCTAGAAACAGGGTCTCTGAGTATCTGAGTGACCCATCCCAGAGCGGAGGGAAACTCTAAACTGACAACCTCATTCAGGAAACAATGACAAGACCTTGTCAGCATCAGTCCTAGGCCACATCAGGCCCTGACTGCCTAGGAAGTGTGCTCAAGGCCCAGGGGGGAATTACCGCTCAGCTAGGACTTCTTCATTACATAGGAGAAAATTCTTGTTTTTTAAAGATGTATTTTCTTATGTGAAAGGCAGAGTGACAGGGGCCGGCACCGTGGCACAGTAGGTTAATCCACTGCCTGTGGTACCAGCATCCCAAATGGGCGCTGCGCTGGTTTTAGTTCCGGTTGCTCCTCTTCCAATCCAGCTCTCTGCTGTGGTCTTGGAAAGCAGTAAAGATGGCTCAAATGCTTGGGCCCCTGCACCCATGTGGGAGACCTGGAAGAAGCTCCTGGCTCCTGGCTTCAGATCAGTGCAGCTCCAGTCATTGCGGCCAACTGGGGAGTGAACCAGAGGACGGAAGACCTTTCTCTCTGTCTCTCCCTCTCACTGTCTGTAACTCTACCTCTCAAATAAATAAATAAAATCTTAAAAAAAAAAAAAAAAAAAAGGAAGGCAGAGTGACAGGGAGGGAGAGAAGAGACACAGAAGGAGAGATCTTCCTCCCATTGGTTCATTCCCAAATGCTTGCAATGGCCAGGGCTGGGCCAGGCTGATTC